CACATAGCCCCTCTTATATGAGAAGCCCAAAGTTCCAATAAAGAGCAAAATAAAAATACAGATAACAGGAAACAGGGAGACCGATATTTTGCAAGAGGGAAAGGGACAGAGAGATGGAGGGAGGGGATATAAGAAGAAAAGAAGGGCCCGGAAAAGAATTAAGACAAGCTGTGTACATGCGGCAGCCCCTGCCCCAGGATGGCAGCAATATATCCTGCAAACAGGTACTGATAAAAACAAAAATTAAAACCAGCAACTGAAAGCAATGCATCGAATCCGGTTTCCCTTTGGTGTCTTTGAGCTGTTCCTCCTGTCTCGTTAACCCCTCAGAGATTCCCTTCTTTAATGCTGACACAGAACCTTCAGGGCAGCTGCAAAACATGTTGTGTACAGTCTGTGTTGAGGGTGGATAATGGAGCAGCGTCGCCTCAGGTTAGGAGTCTTTGACAGAGTCTTTCTATCAGGCCGAAAATGCTGGCAACATAAATCTGGGGACATTCGTCTAAAACTGCATTTTGTAGCATATGACCCTAAAGGGCAGAGCCCTTGACTTAGTCCTCTCTGTAGCCCCGGTGCCTGTCACAGGGCCTGGCACTCCGTAAACATTTGCTGCATGAATGAACGAAGGAAGGACGGGGAGATGGGTGGGGTGCCGCCCAGGGGAGAGGTCCACCAGAAGGGGATAGCTGTCCCCACCTTCTGCCTCTCTGTCTGTCTGTCTGTCTGTCTGTCTGTCTGTTTCTCTCTCTCTCTCTCTCTCTCTCTCTCTCTCTCTCTCTCTCTCTCTTCCATTTCCCCTCCCCCAAACCTGAGCAGCCTCCTCCACCACACACTCATCACCGTCACATTCTGTCCACCACAGGCCTGGAAGCAATAAACCCCGTCTACCAATGGACTGGAACTTCTGAAGCCATGAGCCAGTACATCGCTATTATCCTTGTAAGTTATTTCCATAAACATATGAGTTTAAAAAGGACATTAGGAAAACTAGAGAAACAACACACTTAAAGGAAAACAAGCCCAACCTTACTGAGGTGTAATTTACAAGTGCATGTTGTAACTGTACACCTTGAAGGCACACATACCTGTGTACGCCTGCGTATACATGGTTACAGTGGTAGATACCCGTGAAACCGCGACCCCTGTCCAGAACCAAATGTGTCACTCAACCCAAAACCATTCTACTGTGCTCTTTCTTACCTCATTTCCCCGCTTCACAGCTACCCTAGGCAAATTCTGGTCTGCTTTCTCTCACTACAGATGAGCTTTGTGTTCTGGAATCAGTGGAAACAGGCAGCACATGCCCTGCTGTATCTGGCTTCTTTCATTCAGCTTAGAGCTTAGAGATTTACCTGCATGGCTGCCTGTGTCTGAGTTTTATCCCTTTGTTTTGTAGTATTCTGTTACGTGAATATGTCGCAAGTTGTTAGCTGGGTTAGCCAGCTTTCTGTTCCTGTGACAGAATACCTGAGAAAAATAGCTTTAAAAAGATTTGTTTTGGCTCACGGTCTGGGATGCTTCAGTCCATGGTCAGTGGGATCCATTGCTTTTAGGCCTGCAGTGAGACTGATGCATTAGGGCTGCTAGAGTGGGGCAGAGGCATTGGCTTACCTTATAGCGTAAGGAATGAAGAGAGAGAGGGGAGAGAGAGAGAGAGAGAGACAGAGACAGAGACAGAGACAGAGGACTCAGAGAGAGAATATGTTGGGGACTAGATAGACCTTGCAGGGCATTGATGAATCTGTGGCACTCATGCAACACAGCAGGCTATTTGAGTCACATCACTGAGAACTCTAAAAGTTGTGCCATTCCAGGACATGACCCCAGTCACTACTTCCTCCAGCTAAGACCTAACTCCTAAAGTTTCCACACCTCCCAATAATGTCATCCAATTGTGGATGCATCCATGGGCTAATCTACTAATGAGGTTAGAGTCCTCATAATGCAGGCAACTTCCTATAGGCCCTCATCCCTGATCACTCATGCTCAGGGGACGAGACCTGCCATACATGAAGTCTTGCGGGGTGTTTCAGACATAAACCATAACATTATCCATTCTCCTGTTAATGGACCCATTGGCTATTTCTAGTTTGGGGTGATTATGAATAACGTTCCTGTGAACCCCTATGTCTACTTCTTTGTACAGACACGTGCTTTCATTTCTCTTGGGTAGGTCATGAGAAATAGTTTAGGAATTCGGTGTGACATAACTGCAGCCATCTGGAGCTGTGCTCACTGTCCATGATGCGATAATTCAGGGGATGGTTTTCCTTGCATAGTTCCCCATAATAAATAAATAAAACTAAGGACAGAGGGTACTAGCAGGTTGGTGGAAAAGTGTTTGCTTAGGATGTGTGAGGCTCAGGGCTTGATCCCCAGCACTACAAATGACGAATGAGAAAAATCAACTAAAAAAACAGATCACCCCCAAAGCAAAATACCACCCCAAACCCTCTTTAAAATAGGGCTTTACAACAACCAGACAAGGTGCTGTGAGCATCAGTAATGTACCTGACATTATCTTCAGGGGAATTGTCTCTTGTTGTCTTCAATAGAAGTCGTTCACCTAGCTATTTAGGAGCTTCCTCTCTGACCTGGATCTTGGGGAAGCACTGGCCCTGATACCACACGGCTATCAGGAAGCTCCCAGTCAGTGCCTTCTGGGAATCCTGCATCTGTCTGCCACTTCTTCGGGCTCAGACACCCTGAGGCCAGTTCTCATGTGCTGGGACTGGGTTTTTCTAAAACAAGCAGGTTTGGTGGATTGTACAGTAAGTCATCTCTCTCTCTTTGAAAATGGCACCTTGTATGGAAACCATCTAAAAATATTGTCCTTGGGCTGCCGGAGAAAAGAACTCCCAGTTGGACAGTGCTGTGTCTGAGCTGGCATTACAATAATGCTCCTAATCTTTGACAAGTCTGAGCAAAAGTGAGTATGTGTCAGAGTTTAAATCTGAGTATAGGGGCCAGGAATGTAGCCCATTGGCACAGCGCCTACCTGGCAAGCACAAGGCCCTGAGTTTGATTCCCAGTATAAAACACACACACACACAACAACAACAACAACAACAACAACAATAACAACACAGATCCCAGATCTGTGTCCTCCCTCTGATTGCCACCGGCCGGCTCAGATACCGTTAAAGGTGCCATTCTGGCTCCCAGGCTCTGCTGCTCTGTCTCCTCAAAGTCTTATACATTATAAGCAGAGGCTTGGGGAGCACAGAGTGCTACACTGATATTCATCAGTGGGTTAGTCCACCCTTGGGGTTATAGCTAAATATGCCATTAGGAAGTGACGTCTGGTCAGAAGAGGGGGTCACTGAGACGTGGCCTGGAGGGGTTTATCTCTCTCCCCAGCTCTCTTTTCTCTCGCTGCTTCCTGTCTGCCCTGAGCGGCTGTTCTTCTGTCTTGCCATCCTGCTTTGGAGCTGGTAGATTACCAGCTAAAAACCTGAGCCCAAATAAAACTGTCCCCCTTTAAGCTGTTTGGTATTGGATACTGTGACCGAACAAGGAAAGCGTGACTCAGACACTCTGATTGGCCAGACGGACTCAGCACAAAGATGGTCAAGGCCTAATTCGAGCCACGATGGAAGATGGAAAGAGGAGCAGCAGAATGTCTGTGCACCCAAAGGACGGAGAAGGACGCCCACTGCAGGAGCACTTGCTAGGAATGTGCATAAACTCCAGATTTACATACACAGGCATATAAATGTCGCTCAGCGCACCTAATCTAAGACAGAAAGCAGCTTTAGCTGGCAACAGTCAGAAACAAACCTTCCATTTTTCAGGAGAACTTGGCAAGTAAATCAGAGGGAACTAAGACCCACGAAGATGCCCAGGACTCCTGCTGCTCCTGCGCTCTTTCACTTCAAGCAAGAGTGACAGTGCCCTGTATGGGGCTGCAGGCACGCGACGCCCGTGGCCCACGCAGGGGATGGAGTCTGGGTTTCTCTCAGAGACCTTTTAACTACTTTTGTTAGGAGGAGGAAGCCAAGATACTTTGGCTTCCATCATCCCCAGGGCCAGACTTCCATTCAGAGCACTGCTGTGGGATTCCTGAGCTGATTTGCTTACAGGGCAGGAAGCCTCTGGAAGTTTAGTTTTCCATTAACCTGAACCAAACCGCCCAACTCCATGGCCCGATTTCTTGCACATGAAACCCCATTTCCTGGTGTGCTTCTGCGGATCAGAACCTGGGCCCAGGAGGGTGAAAGTCCCAGGGTCAAAGGAAGACTCGGCAAACCCCGGAGAAGTGGGGCCCAGAGCCCTCGCACAGCCGGTGCAGCCTGCTGCTTGTGTGACCTTGTGTGTGCTTGTGTGACCTTGTGTGAGTCGCATTCCTGTTGCAAGGCTTCTTTTTCTCACCTATGCAAAGGGAATGGCTGTCATCCCCACCCCCTCACTCCCCTTCCCACAGGCTCGGGTGAGGGGCACTGAGATATGTGAACAGCGGGTTCTTAGCCACTGATAGTCTCTGCTTAGGGTCCCTCGTCCAAGATGCTTGGAATCAGAAGTGGTTTGGATCTTGGGTATTGGGGGCGGGAGTTGAAATACTTGCATAAATGTGATATGTTTGGAAGGAGACCCAAGTCTAAACACAAAACTCGCTCAAAATTTTTATATTAACTTTGTACCTTTAGCCTGGTCATTTTATGCAATATTTTTTTTAACCATTTTTTAACATGGAATAAAGTGTAGTGATATGGAATTTTCTTTTCTTTTTCTTTCTTTCTGTTTTTTTAAAATTTTTTAAATTTTTTTATTTTTTTATTGTGGTACCGGAAATTGTGGTGTGGAATTTCCTATTGGTGGTGCCGTGTTTTGGGTTTGCCACGTTCAGATTTTGGATTTTCAAAGTTGCTCACAAAGCATAACAACAATATTGTCATAAAGGCAAAGTTGTGAGTGTATGAGACCCATGTTTATTTTTCAGAATATTTCTATTAATGAACTATTGATTTTGAATTTTATTACATTAACCAATGAGTACTTAGTGGGAAAAACAAGGTATTGAATTTTTAATATTTATTGAATGATTATACAACAGTATCAAACTTTTCAACATTAACTTTTTTTGGGCACAAAATCTAAAGAAATAACAACACAAATAAATTCCTATATGAACTACCCCCCTGATAGCACTCTGCAAAAATCAATCAGACTCACACATGACAACAGGACATTCCTGACACATGCATGGCTTCCACTGACTGCTCACATCTTTTGCTTTCTTGGCCTTTTTGTAGGACATACTTGCCATCTTGCTGGCAGGAATTGCTATTTTGTCAGGAGGGTCTTATCATCTTATACAATGTGTAGTTAACAGGAACATAACATATCAATCAAATAAAGTATTAAATTCATCATATATACTGTGCATTCAGAATAAATAATAACATTTTCACATAAAGCTGTGTACTTGCTTACAAAACCTAAAAGATAACATTGGAAAAAAAAATCTTATGTGAACTCCAATGTAAATACAAACAAAAGTCCACCACAGAAATAATCTTCACTTCGACAGTCACAGCCGAGGCAGTCCCACACACAAGCATCGCTAACACGGAGAGCACATGTGTTTGTTTTCCTGTCCTTTCCTGCAGAGCACAGTTACGTCATTTATGTTTTCCTGTTGTCATTGTAGGACCTTGTGATGCTGTGCCTGCCTGTTCACCTGTCTGTTTTCCAGTGTGCACCACAGTATTTTTCTATAGTCCCCTGGGCAGAAACCTTTTGTTTTTCCTCTGCTGTAAATGGTCTCATATGAGTTCCAATCCCAATCTTCTAAGAAAATCTGTGATATTTTGCACTTGTTATTTTTAGTGCTATTTTATTTTTTTAAATTTTATTTTGAAAAGAACAAAACCAAATGAGAAAGGACACAAAACAGAATCATTCAAAACAAAAGGATGGACACAGCACATGATTAAAACCACAATACAATAGGTGATCTATAATGGTTACTATGATGTCTCTTGTTATCTTTAATAGAATTGTCTATATCATCAGGCATAGTTAAATTGAACATAGCAGTACAGAACAGAACAATATCCATAAAAACAAAACATTGGACACATTGTAGGACTTCAAAAGCAGGTAATAGTCAAATCAGAATGGGTATCCTAGTGAATCTTACCATCTTCAGAGTAGTTGCCTATACTCTCAGACTGGATACTATCAAATGTAACAGATTCAGATAAATTCAGTCAAGACCAGACAGTGATCTAACAAACCAGATTCAAATAAGATCAGTCATAATAAGACAGTGTAAGTAATACAGGGCTTCAGGTTAAGTTAATAAGAAATCAAGGATGATTACTGTAGTATATCCTGCTATTTTTGGAATAGCTTTCTGTGCCCTCAAGTTGAGTACAAGTAGACCGACTGGAACAGAATATAACCAAACTAAACAGAGCAATGAGAACAATGTGGTTTTTAAATCATGATACACTATTAACAATGTCCTTTGCCTTCCTCTTTTAGACAGTTCCTCCCCTTTCACTTTCACAGGGTGCATTGTACATTTTGGATCCCATTAACCCCTGTAGCTTTTAGATTAGGGAGGCAACCCACTATTTACCTAAGTGGTTCTGAAACTTTTTACCCCTGAGCTTGATATTGGGCCGTATTCCTTTACCTACTAAAGCCTCAAGGTTTTCCTTCCTTACAGCTGAGTAGTTCTCCACTGCACAAAAGTGTCATGACTTTCCAATCTATCTGCAGCTGCTGGGTAAGCTGTTCCTATTTCTCTCTGGTTCTCTGTCACATAGGGCATTATTTTCTCATCTTTGACTTCCAGTTCATAAACCCTCTTTCAGGTTGATTCTATTTCCTATGCAGAGCATCTCAATGGACCCTATCTCCTGATCTACTCTGCCTGTGTTTCTTTTTGTTAGTGTATCAAGGCCATCTATGTTAGAGATTATAGCCAACCTTCTCTGCCTCGTCTCTGCCATGCTATTTTTCTGTCATTGGTGGTCTACTTTTCCCCTTCATTCTACTGTCTGCCCCATTCAGTGAGCGCCCTCTGCCACTGTTCCTGAAATCCTGGTGTTTTTTTTTTTTATCTCTCTCTCTCTCTAGAATGTCCTTCAGTATTTTTTGTAGAGTTGGATTAGTGGTCATGAATTCCCCCAGTTCCTCTTTGTCATGGAAGCATCTTGTTTCTCTATTAATTTTTGAGAGATAGTTTTGCAGGATACATCAATCTGGTTTGGAGCTTATTTTCTTCCAGGGCTTGGAATATGTAGCTCCAAGCTCTTCTTGATTTGATTATTTGTGTCGAGAAGTCTGCCATGATTCTGATGGATTTTCTTTATAGGCAATCTGTTTCTTTTCTCTGACAGCTTTTAATATTCTGTTCTTGTATTGAATTTCTGGCATCTTGATTATTACATGCCTGGGTGTAGCTCTGTTTTGGTTGTAGCTGGCTGGAGTTCTGTATGCTTCATATATCTGAATATCATTTCCTTTTCCCATGCTTGGGAAGTTTTCCTTAATTATTTCTGTGAATAGCCTTTGTATTTCCCTTGTGTTTACTCCTGCTTCTTCTCTCACATTTTTTATTCTTAAGTTATAGATCCTCTTGTTGTTTTCTAGCCTTTGTATTTTTATTTCCTATTTCCTTGTTACTTTAAAGAGATCTTTTGTTTCACGATCACACACTGCAAACCTGTTTTCAACTTTTGATAGTCTATCTTTAGTTTCTTTCAAGCATTTCTGCCAGCTTTCAATGGAGTTTTTAATTTCCTGGTAATCTCTTTGAATCTGTTTTGTGTATTCCAGATTTTTAAAATATTCTTCATCGGAGGTTTCCCTCCTTTTTCTGTGCTTCTCTATTCTTCCATCTGTGTCTTCCTGAGAGGTGTTTAGCATTTCATTTATTAATCTTCTTATATCTTGTTTTAGTTGTATTAGTACTTTTGTTTTGAGTTTTTCTATAATGTCATGAAGATATTTCTTTATGTCAGCTGATGCCATGTCCTATATTGCATATCTTAGTTACTTTTTACTCGTTGAGATGAAATACCTGAAGCCAAAGTTGTGAAAGGAAAGGTTTATTTCTTATAGTTTTTGGAGCTTTTAGTCCATGCTCAGTTGGCTCCAAGGCAGGCGAACATGGCTGGGCCGCAGTTCATGGTGGCTGCAAACAGCAAGCAGGAACCAGCAAAGAGCAAGACACATTTCTTCCTGCCATTACATCACATCCTGGCTCCACCCCTTTGTGGGTGGAGCACTGACATCATCAACCCAAGCACTAGACAATGAACCAATCACAAATGCACAATGCAAACTCATGAGGCCTGGGGGCCACAGACATAAACCATGACATTCCACCCCTGGCCCCCAGGACTCATGTACATCCTTTATACAAAAGACATTTAGTCCACCTCCAAGAGTTGCCAAACTCCTAACAATTTCAGCATTGCCAAATAGTCCAAGTCCCAAGTCTCCTCCAAGATCTATGGTAAACTCTTAACTGTAACCCCCTGTACAAATGAAACAAGGTTAAACATTTCTGAAATTTAAAGGCAAAAGATAAACATTACCATTCCAAAAGTTACAAACAGGGAAATATAAAGCGTTGGAAACAAAGCAAGTCTAACATCCAGTAGGACAAACATTAAGTCCTGGAGTTCCATGCTCAGCATCTGAAGCAATCTGGTTGCAAGCTCCAAAAGGCTTGGGTGATTCCACCCCCGTGGCACCTCTGGCGATTTTAACTCCCACAGCTTTTCTCTTAAATCCTCTTTGCTCACTTTTTGCAGCTTTTCTTGGATCATCCATGTTCTTGGCTTTTCCAAACTTCTGGGGTCTCTACTGCACCTTTGGCTTCACATTTACTTCTTCACAAATTGCCCTCTCAGGGGCATACTGCTTGGCCTCCCAGGCCCTTTGTAATTGAGGTGGACGCCGTCTTACCCTCAGAATTCATGCATTTTTCTTGCATTTAAAATCAGCACCTTGTGGATGCTGCCAAGGTCTGCTGCCAGCTGAAGCAGTAGCCAAGCTTTTCTCTCTCTTGGCTGTAGGGGTCAGTTGCCTGGATTGCAGGGCTCTATTTACCTGATTGTGAGGAAAAGCTTCTCTATGTTGCCGCCATTTTGGAACCTCATGTGGCCTCTGTCGCCATTTTGGAGCATGGTGCTCTGCAGCCTTCTCCTCTGAGCAAATTCTTTTCATCTTTGCAGTGAGGCTGCAAAGGGTGGGGACCCATTTCCTGGGGTGCCCCAGGGCCATCTTTTTTATCTTTCTGTTTCCCCTCAACAATCAAAATCTCAACTCTGCCTTTACAATCCACAGCCTTCCTGGAATTTTTTTTTTTTTTTTTGGCCGAACTCACAGCATTATAAATTATCCTGCTGGGCTCTTTGCCCTTGATTTGCAACATAAAGCTGGCTAAAAGCCCCCAACAATAGCCACGCCACAGACTCAATATTTGATTGCTTTTTAATTTCTTTTTTGAGATTAATCAGTCCATTTCCCTTTGTCTCAGTCTCAGGCAAAGTCTATGGGCAGCAGCAAAATGCAGACAAACTTTCTGCCAGCCCATAACATACATCATGGGGAGTCCAACAACCAATGCAGTCCTTCTTCCCAGAAGAAACCTCCCAAACCTGGTCTTTACCATCAGACTTTCTATCAGCCTCTGGTCTCCTGATCTCTGACTAGAATCTCCTCTACAGAACAGCCTAAGCTGCTCCAGCTCTATGCATCCAGGCAACATGTCCGAACCTTTCCAAACTCTGGCCATAAGCCATTTCCAAAACCTCTTGAAAAACATGGCCAGGTATAGTCACAGCAAACAGCCCCACTCCCAGTACCAAATTTTATCTTAGTTACTCTTTACTTGTTGCTGAGACAAAATACCTGAAGCCAAAGGTATTTTGGGAAAGGAAAGGTTTATTTCTTACAGTTTTTGGTGGTTTTAGTCCACACTCAGTTGGCTCCAAGGCAGGCGGGCATGGCTGGGCTGCAGTTTATGGTGGCTGCAAACAGCAAGCAGGAACCAGCAAAGAGCAAGACACACCTTCTTCCTGCCATTACATCACATCCTGGCTCCACCCCTATGTGGGTGGAGCACTGACACTATCAATCCAAGCACTAGACAATGAACCAATCACAAATGCACAATGCAAACTCATGAGGCCTGGGGGCCACAGACATAAACCATGATATTGCATGTTTGCTCCTCTTGATCTCTTCTGTGTTTACGTCTCCTGTGTAGGAGACAACTCCAGTGTCTCCCTTTAAATCCAAAACAATTACTGTAACTTTGAATATTTGGAGACTCATTTCCTTATACTGATACGTAAAAAAGTGGCAGGGTATTTCCTTCTCTTCAATTAACTCTGAGCATGGCAAACTTCAATTAACTCTGAGCATGGCAAACAAGGCTAGCCCAGGTGCTAATGTGCAGTATCACTGATGTGAGACAACTCTGGTGACTCCCTTTGAATCCAAAACAAATGCTGTGACTTTGATTACTTGAGAACTCATTTCCTTATACTGATATGTGAAACGTTGGCTAGCGTATTTCCTTCTCTCCTCAATTGGCTCTAAGCATTGCAAATAAGGCTAGCTGAGGTGTTAATATGCAAAGTCTGGCCATCAGACAGCCCTTCCTCAATAATACTCTCCACATTAAAAGATTGAGCTGGCAAGATGCAGATCAGACTCTGGGGATGTCAACTGGGAAGGAGCCTCAAGATAAGAGGTTATGACTCCCCAGGGCACAAGAGTTTGCATATCAAAAACCGAAGCAACAGCACCCCAAAACATTTCCCCTGCTACCTTAATCAGGTTGTGTAAATTGATCTTCTGCATGTCTTTATCTCTGCAAATTACAGGGATGCCATTCTTACACCTAGCCAGCCAGCCCAAGTTACTCAGCAATCCCCGACATCCTGACTATCACTCATCCCTAGTGACGCCCCCCTTTTCCTCACAAAATAATAAATGCAGGGAGAGGCCTAGGATTGTGGCCTTTGTCCACATGTCCTCACCGGAAATGGACTTGGGTCCCCTTGGGTGCCCTTAACTTGGAATATGTCTTGGTGTTTTTACTCTCGCTGTGGGTTGGGTTGGTGGTGGTAGATTGGAACTGACGGGCTGGAATTCCAATAATGTCTCAATGGGATTACAAATATAACTTTTTGGATTAAAAGGAAAACTAGAAAGAAGATTACAATACTTGGATGACTGAACCTGAATTTTTGGGTTTACAATACTCCTGGACCCATATTCCCTGAGTTGGCAGCTGGACACTTTTTCTTGTTTCTTTCTCTTGTTATGTTTCTAGTTTTTTACAGACAGGTATATAGTGGAGGTCCCAGGCCCTTTCTGTATGGGTTACAGTTACTCTGAAGCGTGCTGGCTAGGGATTGCTGCCCTCTCCAGTTTGTTGTTGATCACTGAGGTACGAGCAGGAGCAGTGCAGGTTGGTTCCTTCCCTCTGAGCTAGTCAACCTCTGGGGGTCTTTCCACATTTCTGGGGGTCTTCACCATATTAATGTGTGCTGCTGGACGGAACTGGTTCAGGACAACTTCAGGGGCAAGTTCGTCCCTGGCTATTAGGTCCCACTCAGGAGCGAGACCCAGTCCAAGCCATTTTCACCAATCTGTTCCTCACCAGGAGCGGCCAACTGAAGTTACTACAGTTCTGAGTTCAGGTCTATCCTTCCGGATTCCAAGAAGTTGCCCAGCCGGTCTCCCCCACCCAGGGGAGGACCAAATTCCAGCACTCACCGAGGGTCAGTGCAGATCTCCATGCTTGCTCGGTTGTCCATTGCAACACATCCTCTCACCAAGGTCCTTGGGTTCACCAACCCCTCCCTTCAGCATGACCACAAGTCAGACCAGCTCTGGTGAGAGCGCCATGATCTCGAGTCTGACCGACTACAGTGAAAGCTCATCTCATTCCAGCCTTCCATCCACGTTTTTCTTGTCTTTTTCCTTAGTTTCTTCCTGGGTTGTGAGAATCCCTTTCCTTTCATCTGGTCTTCTCCTTGCTATTAAATTCTAGCATCTGAGCTGTTTCTCTCAGAGAGGTTCTTTACCTTGCTATTTATCTACCTGCCATCTTGCTGCCCCATCACACTTGGTATTTTCTTAGTGAACTATTGAACTATTTTTGCCACACATGTTTAGGGTTGAGCAAAACATTACCACTGACAATTCATTGTATTTCATGTGACGTCATAATTGCCATATAACTAGTCAACATCTCCTCTGCCTTTGATATTTTTTAGAAAGTTTCCATCTCAGGCTTCCACTTCTTTGAAGTTTCCCTATCAATGTTTCCATTATGGTGCAATGTTGACATCACTACCAGTTGTTTTTCTTTGCTATATACAAAGGCAATGTTATGTATCTGAAGTCCAAAGATTGTACTACAACTCTCTGTTCTGAAATTGCAACATTCATTTGGAATGTCTGCTTTGTTTTTCTGTACAGTTCCTACACTGGTCAACTTGTGCCCCACTAGAAAATGTAACATCAGTTGGAAACTTGTAAACCAATTGTTTAATATCAAATTCTGATTAGTTTAGGAGACAAGAACAAGAATCCTGTTCATGGGTTCATTTGGTTTATTACTATATTAATAAGTACCTGGTTGCTGAGTTCTAGGATAAATTTACAAAGGGAAATATAATGAGTCTTTTCAACTATAAAGGAATACATTTTGGGGGCCATGTTTTGAAACTTTTTTGGGAATATATTGCCTGAAGCTATAGTGACCACAAAATCCTGCAAGATGTCCATCAGTAATCATGTATTTGGAGGGTGTGTAAATTGCTTACCACTCATCCACAAATCCCTCAAACCAGGAGCGGATAGCAACCAGATTGTCAGCTCTTTTTCTTTCTTGGTATGTGATTCGTTACCAAACCTCAGGCAATGTTGAAGGAAACAAATGTCCTCAGCGTCTTTGTTATTCTGGAAACCTGAAGCCCACACCTATCACTTTTCCATAAGTCCTTCACGGTCCTGTGATTCCCAATGGAAACTTCTGGAAGCACTGTCAACCTCTAAATGCTTTCACTTCAGCTGGTGAGTGTCATGGTTAATACATTTTTATATGGCTATTGGTGCATAAAGCACGTCTTACTTGTATTTCAGTGTTTGTGTATTTCACAACACTTTGCAGCATTTCATCTGCTACAATCTCCAACACTGAGTGGTAGTGCTGGCATTCTGTCCAATACAATTTCATCCTGCCAAAATCCCCATTATATTTTCGGACCTAGTACTAACATTGGACTTTCCCATTTGGTTGCATGACCGTTTTGTACCATTTCTACTTGTCAAATACGTACTCACGCTGTTGTTTTCCTCGACATCTGAATCGAGGAGGTCTTCATTCCCTGCATCTGTATCAGTCGATTCTTGCTCCATTTCACTGCCATAAGAACTCTGGCTCACGTGGTCAATGTCAAAGTCATCATCATCTTTCTCATCCATGCATGAATGATCTGATGATTCACTTTTGACCTCCAAAACTTGCAAATCTGGTTTTTCCTGTGCCATTGTTCTAAACTGAGCTACTTCTATGAGAAAAATCTTAAGCTAGCTTTGTAAAAAAAAAAAAGTCGTAGATGAAATTTGGCAATGAGTGTTTCAAGGGTAAAACTCACCTGTTGCTGCTTGGATCTCCTGTGTATACCTTGGCACTCCTCGCTGAGTGGGTGAATGCACAGATGGGTTTTTCCTTTCCCCAGGAGTCACACTCACATTCCATTTATGGTGCTTACAGAACAGAAGAGTGATGTGGGTGTATTTTACCTGCTGTGATGCTCAGCCAAACGTGTGCAAAACTTATTAGATGAAGCAATATGTGGGTAAAAATCCCAGTCCCAGCACACATGCACGCACCTTGCTGTTCATCATACCGAGAGGGTAAACATAAAAATTGTTGCCTGTATCTCCTAGGCACAGCTACTGAGAGACACAATTGGCCACTATTATGCTAAATATACATTTAAAGTAAAAAAGTATGGGACAGGTGGTTGCAACCTAATGTTATGCACAGCTCAACCTATATCCATATATTCAGTGTCACTGAGAGACCAGCAGAAGTGGTCGTTTTGACTCCAGCCACCCAAACTATCTCTATTAAGTTGATGTGATTCTTTGATTCTTCATTACCATCAACTTGAGATCATATTCTAATATCAATCAAATAGAGATGAGAAGCTGGAATACTCCAAGGACATTTCACTCCATTAGCTCTGCTAAATAATTCCACAGTACGGCCAGTAAGACACAGCTTGAATTTGCTGCTGTGGTCCGACTTCCCAGTAGCGAGTGTTTCTTAGTCAAGACCTCAGTATTGTCCTGAATGCCTCCAGCAGGGCTCTGTCTCCTGTGTTATCCACCAGGCCAAGTGGCATCAAGAGTAGAGAACTAGGACTGGCATGTGTGAGGCCCTAGGCTCCATGTCCAACAAACAAACAAAAATTCAAAAAGCACCCCAGAAAAGGCTGTCACAGCTTTTCCATACACGATGCCTCCCGTAAAGCACCCTACACAGCCACAAAGGAAGGGCCATCGCTCCATAGTGGCACTGAGGACACCAAGCTTTGGAGAGTACTTTGGCTGAGGAGAGAGAGCAAAGGCACACCAGCAAACAAGCCCAGTCTGGGAACCAGCACCATGTGTGGGCTGCCACCAAACTGGAAACAGCCAGACCCCAGCCCCTTCTGGCACACGGACTGGCAATACATGAAGTATCACCAATATCACCCCACCATGCATAAGTGACTGGCTTATCGGGAGAAACACAGGCTGTGATGGTAGCTACGGAGGTGAAATGCAGTTGGATGCCTGTGGTGCTTTGAGGTTTCACTAACATTACAGGTCTAGGGCCAGTGGGCTGATCATATGTTCAGAGGATAGCAGTACGCAGTGTGGCATCTAGGGGGATCCCCTTCTGAGGGTTACAGCCATTGTTGATTCCCTATGGTCTTATTTTGGTAGTCCTGTATCATTTCCATTGTTTTATTGGGTTAGGTTTTATTCTCTTTTGTTTGGCTTGATTATGTTAAATCTGATGGCAGGAGCAGCTGTTTCAAAGATAGCAAGCTATATTATGGATTTCCTATAGGATTGTTTTGAAGTCCTTTATTGCATTCATTGTTTTGTTTTTATTGATTCTATTCTATTCTGTTCTGTTTGATTTTTACTGTGTCCAAAGTTATCTGCAGCTATTTTTGAAGACATCCAAAGGCATTATATTAACTAATGTTGATTTCATAATGTTTTGAAGTCCTTTATCTCTTACACTGGTTTGTTTTGATTGATTTTATTCTATTTTATCCTCTTTTTAAAAAAAGAGTAACTTGGCTGAGATTACAGAGCATCAAGACCAAGGTTCAAAACAGAATCTCACATCTGCCTCCTGGCAGTACCCAGGCTCTCACTACAGCAACAAGCCACCTGCCCTCGCAGCAGCGCTCGCAAGGCCGGGAATTCCATTGGCTCTTTCAGAATCCACTGGGTAAATGTGTAGGTCGAACAGAGCTCAGGTATAGTGGGCTGGCTGGCTGCTGTCTATTCCTTTCTCTGTCCTTTTAGCAGCCCAGTGGGCTCCTTTGACCCATGTCTTTGCTTTCAGAACCCGTAACTTGGCTTCTTTCTTCTCTTGGTGACCTAGGAAAAGCCTAATCTGCTTCCCTCCAGGAAATGTTCCCTTCCAGGCCCCAGGACCATCACCCACTGTGCCTTCCCTGGAGACACCTCTGAGCTCATGTCCTCTCCAGGAACCATCTTCCTTGTCAGGGGGATAATTTCCACATTCGCTTGTACTCAGGGAGCAACGTGGAACCCTAGGCTGCAGGGGCCTCTCATCTTGCCTGCCTCCTTCCAGAGCTGGGTTCCGACACGTGCTGCACTAGCTCTGGGGTGTAGAATTCTGCAGTGTCCTCTCCGTTTCCATTATCAGATGCTCAGCTCACCCCACCGCTGCAGGCAGAATTTCCTAGAAGCTCAGGAGCACTACTGTCCCACCCCACCGATGTGTCCCTTTCCTGATCTGAGGCCTCCCAGGGATTTATCATCAGGGTCCAGAGGCATCTGAGGGATGGGGAGTTGATAGCTCTGGGGTCTGGGGGCCCCTTTCTGCAGAGAGAATCCAATAAAGGAGAATCCGAACTCTGTGACATGTAAATCTATTTTGTCTTAGCCTTTTTTTCTACTATGTGTAGTTCATTTTTAAATGATTGCCACGCCATCCACCCAATGAGACTTTTGCACATAGCAACAGATATTTTTACATGAGCAGGCCGGGGCTCCCGTGTCCAAATTTCTCTCCTCTTCAACAGAGGACCATGGACTGATGCATAAAAAGGTACTGCTCCTCTTCCAAGCTTCCCAGCCCTCTCCAGACCTGAACCAAAGGACATTGGCCTGGTCCTTTCAAATATTCTCAGTTCTGAAAATTTGTGGATGCTCTCGGTTTTCCGGAAAGTGACTCAAAGTCAACTGAAGGCAGGGCTAGTGATTAACTGGAGAAATCCCATCTGAGGTTTGAAAGGACTCGTGATTATGAGACCAGACGGGAGAATTTCGTTTGTTGTTCTTAAAGTGGCTCCGGTGGTTGCTGTTTTCCTCAGAACCACAGAAAAAAGAGCACAAACCTAATCCTGGTGACCCACAGTGTGTGACTGGGCCTTTGCTGTGGCTCACTTCCTTCCCGCCCCACCAGTCCCTTTGTGATCTTTGCTGAGCGCTTACCATCCTTCACATTTACTTTCCGAACAGCGACATATCCCAGTCCCAAGAGGAAGACTTTAAATCATGCCTTTCTCCCTTGTCCTCTCCAGTAAGGTACATTTTATGTTTGCTTTGACTGGTCTGGCTTTCTAATGGTAATAAGAGGAAAGGATTAGAAAGCAAAGTCTCACCAGCCTGCTGTTCCTCTAGGCTGGATTTTTGCATTTTATTCTTCCCCTCCCCCACTTCAAAGGGGAAACCTTGGGGGGGGGGCAGTTCCTGCCTAATTAGCTCTCCTGATGTGAGGCCCTGCCAGTCCTGACTCCTGTGGGTCCTGACACCTCTGTTCCTGTGGGTTACTCTTGCTGCTGGGGATGGAACCCAGGGCCTCACAGATCCTAGGCAAGCACCCTACCGCGGAGCTGTACCCCAGGAGCTGTACCTGATCCAGGGAGCTCTTTAGCTCTCCAGATGAACTTGTTAATGAAACTGAGTCCCTCCAAGGAAAATAACCCCGCTTGTTTTTCTGATTACCCAGCCCCAAGCCTGCCAGTTTTGCCTGAGATGTTGAGTCCTCTGCTGTCTCTGGTGGTGTCTACACTGCAATCCAGCCTCCCTGACATTCTCCGCTGTAAACAATCTGGTCTGCATCACACCCAAGTGCGAACTCTCTCTCTAATTAGGGCCTTTGCAGCTTTGCAAACAGTCATTTGTCCTTGGGCCTGGGGCAAGGAAGAGCTGTTCTTGTCATTGGTTTTAACAGCTACTTTAATTAAGGCCCAGTGGTGGCTAAAAGCACAAGACTAGGAAGTGCTTTCTTCAGGACTGAGCTTGCACGGTCATGGACCTTTCCAAAATTAATAACCAGAAAGTGCGATTTGAGTGCTGGCACATAACGAAGCTAAGTGAAGCCCCTGGCCATCGCCTGTAAGTCCCTTGCTCTCTAGGAGAGGAAACCAAGTCCCAGGGAAGTGGAGTCCTTTGACCAACACCCAAGTGTCCATCAGATGCCAGCCTGGAACAAGAGGCCAGTCCTCTGGGTCCCAGTCCGCCGTCCTCCCTGCTGGCCCGGAAACCACACATGTGCAGATCGCTTCAGGATCAACAAGGAAACTATTGAGCCACCATTATGGGGCTACCTCCTCCCATGAATGACGTTTTTGGCAATCATTTTCCAACTTTATCTTTCTAGAAACAAATCGCGTACAGGTATTAAAGTGGGTTTTCTTTGAGAACCTCCCCGAGTTGGTTGCTAAGCTCTCTGAAGGCTCCGCCGTGCATTCTTCAGTTACTACACACTCGGGACTCATGTGCACGGGGATGGAAACAGATGGCGAGTGCTTAAAACACTTTATCCCACAGAAGATACAGTGCCATTAACTGTTAGAGTATTCTGGTGCAAGAGAGAAGCAAAAAGTACAAAACGAACAGGTTTACTGAGGACGTGGACAGGAGCACAGAACCCATGGCGGCTGGGCCGTCTCCTTCGGCCAGATGCAGAGAGGCAGGGGGTTCTATGACCTCTGATGGGAGGTGGGGCATGGGCGGTACTGATGACGTGTGAGGCACCGACTGGAATTCTCTGTGCGAGCAAACAGGAGGAGAGTTGCCATTAGGGCTGAAGAAGAAGCAGGAAGTGGCGAGTGTCCCTGCTTTGGCCATCTGCCATGTTAGACCACCACCATAATTGTACAGTAATTTATTCTAGGGCAAGAAGCTTTCATTAGCCACCCTTAGAATATTTCACGTTGCTTCAAATGCTCTAATCCCATGGTTCTTGCCAATTTTGGAAGCAGCTCTGGCAGTCCTTTTTCTCAAGTGTCTCTGGGAGGTGTGGTGGGCAACAGGGTGACTGCCCCCCTGAGCGCATCCAACAGAAAGGCAGCTCGGAGGGGCACGACACTGTGTCCTCATCTGCCTTCTTCCCAGGGTCTGACTGCAAAGCCGATGACCACAAGAGGCAAAGATACCAAGCTGACTCAGGACATTGACAAGACTGAACCACACCGCTAAGGACACTGATGGAGGAGGACTTCCACAACCACCTCGGACTTCTACTATGGTGAGATTTAAAAGGCGTAAACACTCACAGTGTTTTCCAGTCATACCTTATATAGAGAAAAAGAATCATGCAAAAGAGACAAAATCAGCCATCTCACGAGGGGACGAATAGATTCTCCTGCTAGTTATTTAATTTAGTTAAGCAACCATGGTGAAAGCAAATTCCACTAACAGAATCTTATTTTTTACTTTTTTTGTTTGTTTCTTGAGACTGGGTCTTGCCATACAGTCTAGGCTAGCCTTGAAATTTCAGCAATCCTCCTGCCTCAGCCTCTCAAGTGCTGGGATTACAGGTGCGCACCACCACACCTGGCTTCAATTTTTACTATTATTTTGATGGGTTTCAATTCTTGGAGGCTGGTTAATTTAAAGAGAATCATTGTGAAATGTAGGTGCTGGGGCCCAGGGCCTCACCACACTAGGCAAATAAATACTCTAATAGCCTCAGCCCAATGCAATATTTAAATTAAAAATCCAAAGTAAAAATGTTACTCACCCAGAGTCTCTTTTCATCTCTAGATTCCTAGTGACTGGAATCCCCAAAACAAAGGCAGTTCTGGGATGGCCAGGCAGCTTCTCCGATTGTTCTGTCCTGTTTGTGGTTTTTGTTACTTTTTCAGTCACCCTTGGACCTCAGCACTCAAGAGTCTAGCAGAGATTACCTCTGTCCTCCAGGGGTCAGTTCGAGAAGATCCCAGAGCTCTGCACAAACAGAGCAATAAACAGCCCAGCCTGCTGTCCTGCCTGTGGCCCATGACTCAGTGTGAATCCACGCTTACCCACCGGTGGTGGCTGTGGCACCTGTCAGGGCTCGTGCTGGGGTGGGCTGTGGGGCTGAGCTGAGGGGACAGTTCCGGTTGCCTCCCTTTCTCCTTCAGGCAGTTTGCTAAGACACTAGCTGCACACACAGTAAGAACTGGGCCAAGTTAAAAATGGTGCAAGGACTCATGATGGTCTCGTCATCATACCAAAGTGACCTGCAGTCCAGTGTCTGTGGAGGGAAGGAGAAACTTATTACCGTGCAGAGCTGATGCTTCTACTAAAGGGAGCGAGCCCCTTGCTGAATGGACCTTGGAAAAGGCAAACCAACGGGGGAGGTTTGACCTCAGGACCCAGCCTTCCAGTATCACCAGACCCTAACGCAGGTGGCGCCTCTTCTCTTGAAGCCGTAGGAGGCTGTTCTTTTGGCTTAAACTCCTGCAGTGCACCTTCATGCCAGGCTGCCAGTCACTTCGGAGCCACTCTTGCTACAGTTCCACCTCTCTCCAAGCTGAAGCTGAGCTGTTTAGTTGAACTTCTGAGAAATAAGGATTAGAGCAATACTAACCAAATTATCCAAACAGACTGGTTTCAAGTGGCATGATCAGGAAGTTGTTTGCCTGAATCCCCATACAGAAAAGCTAACCTGATACAACCTGCTGGGAATCCATCAGTTGTTTTCTTTTATTCTGTCTCCCATCTCCGTCTTACAAAAAAAGTAACTTAAGCAACCAATCCTCTTCCTGACTTTGTTTCTGTACATGTTCTTCATTCTTTTCCAGCTATAAAATCAATGTCTTCTGCTCTGCTTATTGGAACATTTTTTCTATTTTATAGAATAAAGTGTTGCCTGATTCTAGAATGACAATAAAGCCAGTCTTATTTTTTTGTACCAGGAATCAAACTCAGGACCTCACATTTGTCAGGCAGATGCTGCACTGCTGAGCTATATCCCGGCTCTGTAGTCTTGTGACCCTAGTTCATTGGCATCTGTTGACTATTATGTTTAAAGCTGTGTGGTAGTTGGATGTTGCTTGTAAATAAAATGAAATATTTCTGCTGTTTTTCTAACCAAGATTCTTTTCACATATTTAAAGAGAGAAAAATCCCACCTCTGTGATCCGCTCTGACCATAAAGTTTCGAATCCAGAGTAACTTCCGGTTGTCTGCACCGCATGCAGAAGCTACTTGTTACATTCAGATCTAAAATGTCCCCTGAAGTCTCCCGTGCTCAGAGAAAGGAAGGTTGGAAGACTGGATAGTAGGGGCACTGAACACACGAGTGGACGGTTCATTGATGAGTTCATAGCTGAATGTGCTGTGGGAGGTAGTTGCTGTTTGGAGCAGGTGGTTCACAGGGCAGGTGTGTGTGTGTGTGTGTGTGTGTGTGTGTGTGTGTGAGAGAGAGAGAGAGAGAGAGAGAGAGAGAGATCTGGAAGAGTGTGTTCCTGTCCCCACCCCTCTCCTCCCTTCCACTCTGTCTCTGCTTCCAGCCCCGAGGTAAACAGCTGTCCTTGCTGTGTCCCTCTGCCGTGATGTTTATGCCTTGGAACCGGTGAACCACGGACTGGAACCTCTGGAACCATGAGCAAAAGTAAACCCTTCCTTTAAATTGTGGGTGTCAGTGTCAATATTTGTTTACCTTAACTTTTGAACTTGACATCCTTGTGTCTACTAGATAAACTTCTGGAATATTGATTTTAAGCTTAGCAAATGTATAGCCTCCACCAATTGTAAAGTGAGGAATGTTATAAGATAATATCTGAAACCTATGGAAGATCTTTCCACGTTTCTGTAGCCTGCCTGCCTGAAACTCCTACTGATGTGACTGGTGAATGCAATAATTTATGACTTTCTTTTTCTGTGACTACAAATTTCATGTATCCTCTTCCACAATGGAGCACATTATTTGGAGTAACTTGACCTGTGTTCCTGGGCCATGGCCACTCATAACTGGCTTATATTTAATTACTTTCTTATTTCCTTTAAAGAAGGCCATTGTTTTAAACAACAGAGCTGACAATTTTGAAATAATCTGCCAATTATGGGTATTTGTCTTGAGAGAAGTTCTATGTCTTCCATTAGGTTTTTAAAAGAAGCCAAGATGACTCAAAAGATTAGGTGTTCCTGCAATGGAGACATTTTAAAATATCAATTTACTAAAATGTGCTGGAAAACAGATAGCTCTTTGCTACACAGTTTTAAGTATGCACTTTAAAAAACCTCATAATCTTTAAGTGAATTTGTTTATTTTAAATTTAGAGCTTAGAAAGATGGTAAGAAATTAATTCCATGTTATTAAAGTACTCCAAATCCAGAACTCTATTCCCTAGATGGATATTTTTAGTGTGGGTGATGGCCTTACCACTGCCTCAAAAATGTGGATTTGCATTCATTCATAAAACATTTACTGAACTTGTGTCACAGGAATAGGATGATTTCCCCCCAGAGGTTAATGAGACTCATAAGGAATTCACAGTCCGCTTCACAGCTGAGGACAATGTTGAACACTTTGATAAAAGTTAGCAGATGTTAGACACAGATACCCCCTGACCTAGAGAGAGGGTCGAAGCAATCCAAGAACAGACAATACCAGAACCACATCCAGGAAGAAAGCGAAGAGCTAGTTAGGTCACCAGGCACCTGGTAGGAGGGATGGGTCACTTTTGTGTGGCATGTTTTGATTTTAATGCACAGGACTCATCTGGGACATTCAACGCAGGCTATGGTGGTGGGTGCTGAGAATCTGTGATTCTAAGAAGCTGCCAGAGGATGCGGCTGCTGGCAGAACCTACTGTGAGAAGCAACAGGAGGAGAAGGGAGGGCAGCGGAAGGAAGGGGAGGGGAGAGGAGGGGAGGAGAGGGGAGGGGAGAGGAGGGGAGGGGAGGGGAGGTTTAAATAGCCACTTAGGGACCTGCAAGTAGTTCAGCATGGCTCAGAAAGGGAGTGATGGTCACTTCCTGCGTTAGTCAGGTTTCTTTTGCTGTAACCAATGCCTCAGATACTCACCCCTAAAGTGGAAAGGTTCATTTTGGCTCGCAGGTATAGATGTTTCAGTCTATGATTGATCGGCCCCATTGCTTTGACTCCCTCATGGCAAGGAACGTGTGGTGGAGCAAAATATCACATAAAGGAAGTGAAAAAGAGGAAGAAGAAAGCCTATGTCCCACCATGCCCTTCAAGACCACACCCCCAATGACCTCACTTCCTCCCTCTAGGCCCTGCCTCTTAAAGGTTCCATCATCTCCCAACTGTGCCAAGCTAGGGACCAAGTCTCTAACACCGGGACCTACGGGGGCATTCCAGATCCAAAAGGTAGTACTTTGTTACAGAAGCCCAGAAGAGTCTCCCTCTGAGATATTCCAAACACAAAAGTTCAGAGATGACAATGATCACATGCCATCCAGATTTCACAAATGCAGGTATTCAGATACATGTGCTGCATGGTTTCCATGGCACCGTGGAAGCTCCTCTTCTATCCCACTCTTCACCCTCTCTGCAGAGGACTATTATTCTGATACTGCTGAACATCTTTCAGCATTCTTATATATTTTCTCATATGTATGTGTGTATAATGAACATTTGGTAGGTTTTTGCTTTCTTTCTTTCATTTTATTTTTTTGGTGCTGGGGATTGAACCCAAAGCCTCGTACTTGCTAATCATGTGCTCCGAGCCACACCCCCAGCCTCAGGTTTAGTATTTTATGCCAATAGAGATTTATCCTGCTGAGCACTTGGAGATATTGCACATTTATTTTAAAACTACATTTTTTGAGTATTTTTTTAAGCAATCTGTTACAACTTTCACATTTAACTACTGGTGAAGATTTAGCTTGTCTCTATTGTTTATTCTCAAAACAATGATTTGCAGGAATTTTGATATATTTGATAACTCATTTTCAATCAGTTACGTGTGCTGCCAATATATTCACCAAGTCTGTGGCTCCTTTTGCTGTGGACATCAGTTTGTCAAATATCTTTCATTACATGGAGACATTAAATTTTAATGAAATCCAATTTGTTGATCTCTTCCTTGTATGGTGTACTCCTGTCTTGTCTAAGAAATCTTAAAGTGTTTTGTAACCCAGAATCTTGCAAATAATAGATATCAGTGGAGCAGAATTAATATTTTGGGGCCACCTTGACTAGATTTTAGGTAACTATTAGTACTATCGTTTCTCTTTAGATAGATGCAGCCTTGTTTCAGCTCTGTTCCTCAAGGACTGGAAAAAAATTCAAATACAAAATGAGATTACTAGAAACTGGTGCAATTTCTTTTTTCTTTTTCCTTTTAGGGTCCTGGAGCTTTTCCCATTCTGAGCACACGCCTTACCTCTGAGCTACAGCCCAGCCCTGTCTATTTTATTTCTTAATCTTCTTCTGGTTCTTATGTGCTCCATCCACTTCTGGGTCTCGACTGTTGAAGACTGGGCTTGTGGCCGCTCGTCTCTCTGGGTCCTTTCCTTGTGCACAGCCTCTATGCGATCCATGCCCTCTTGTCTGCTCCCACCCTTGCGGAATGGACCTCGCGAATCTCCCCAGAGAAGGCACCTGAAGTCCTTTGTGAATCCACACGCCCGGAAACACCCTGGCTCCCCTAGGCAGCTCCGCTTGGTGGTTTCCATCGCTTGTGTAGCAATGACCTTTCCCCTCACGGAGGCCTTGCCTTGGCTTACCTTCCTTTTTCTTTCCCTTTGTAGTAAAGAAGAGTCTTGTTTGCTCCCACTTTTGAAGTCTGGTGATCAAGCAGCACTGGACAGGCTCTGGTGAGGGACCTTGGCTGGCACCACGTGATTGCAATAGTGCCTATCTCTGTCTGTCTGTCTCCTGTCACAGGGTAATTTCAGAGCGTCTTGAGTTTTTGATGGGGAGCACAGGAGTGCAGAGCTCAGTGTCTGGGTGGTAAGTCGCTTTTGTAATGCACTTTCTTTGACCCCTCTTCTGAGGTCTGCAGTTCTCCTCCCCACCCTCTATGCACCCCACCCTTGGGGTCCTGGAGCTTGTTTCTTCCCTTTCTCTGTCAGGGGCTGCTGCTGGCCCACTCTGCTGGGCCTGGCTTCTTCTGTGGGGCTCACGTGCTTCGATCTACAGGGCTCAATATGTTCAGAATGCCTGTGTCTTTTCTATGTTAGATTTCTCATCACTGTGACCTGATACCCACCACCCACAATTTAAAGAGGAGAGACACGATTTGCTCCTGGCTTCCGTCCAAAGCAGAGGCATTGTAGTGGAAGAGGGTAGTGGAGCAAACCTACTTCGTTCATGGCAGTGGGGAAGAGCACCGGAGTGGAAGGGTCCAAGGGCGAGGCACAGACCCCAAGGCCACTGGTCCACAGCCCACGCACACCCCCCTGGCAGTGCGATCCACCAGTCCCAGGAGTGGATCCCAGAGCCAATCAAATTGCAGTTCTGCTTTGATGGTCACATCGCCAAACCAATAGGAACTCACGTGCTTCTTACCCCTCCCTATCACCTGGTAGAGAAGCCCTCTTTATCATCGGCATCTCTTCTCTGCTTACCTCAGGGCTAGTGTGGTTAAAATGGGGTCACGGGTGTGCCGTGCAGATTACTCAGACGTGGTAGATAATGATTTATTTACAAACTACTCGTGACTCAGGCTTGCCACAGAGGTGTCTGTGGTGCTGTCTTTGCGTATCTGCAGCTGTAGCAAGCATGATGCCCGGCTTGTTCAATCACATCCTCAAACTGTTGACTGGCACAGGAACATTTTTCCTTTGAGAGAGCTGGAAGTTTCCCACCCTGACCCACTTTCTAGCTCTCCCTGCTTTTTTTTTTTTTCTTTTTTTGATATAGAGTTTTGCTACGCAGGACCTACCCATATGCCCCCTTAGCATAAACTCAGATGTGCTCCAAAGGGTCTCGCTATGGGTAGCATGATTTTCCCATCACTCAGGAAATCCTAGGGTACTAGAAACTCTGTGCCAGGAACTGGGGACATATTCTTATCACACAACCCCTAGGTACTCCCCTGAACCTGCCCACATCTTATTTGCAGAAGAACCATTTGGGTGTTAGTTGTCTCCTGCGGGGACACTGGTAGGCGCCTCGGCCAACCTCCCTTCCCCATGAGTGTGTGCGCTCTTCGTGGTATTAATACCACATCACAGATGGTGAGCTCTCTGTGTCACGGACTCCTTGGGGCAGAAACACATCCTGTTAAACCCTTTGTCCCCATCATTCCATCCAGGCCTGGCCATGGTAACTATCAATAAGTTTCTGATTTGTTTGCAGTTCTAGGGCTCAAATCCAGGGCCTCATGGATGTTGGACAAGACTTCTGTGCCAAGCTATCACCTCAGCCTGGTTGTCAGTAAGTTTTTAAGTGGTTGTAGCGGTTCCTCCCCAGCACGACTCACGTGGAGGCTGAACTCCTCAATGTGACAGTGGCAGGAGGGGACTTGGTGGGAACAGTGTGGGTCAGGGGGGAAGAAGCCTTAGCAAGAGATGAGGCCATGTCAAGGCAATGATTCTGCCTCCCACAGGAGTAGGTTAGGGAAGGAGAGAGCGGTGTTATAAAGCACCAGTCCCTTCCTCTCTTCTGCATGTCCCCACTTGGCCTCCTGCTTTCCATCTTGCATTGAGGCAGCATGAGGCTCTCAGCAATAGGTCTGCTTGTGGACTTCCAGAACTGTTCCAGGACAGTGACCTGAAATGGACCTTTTTTTTTTAAAGTAAATTATCCAGTTTCCAGTATTCTGTTAGATGGAGGCAATGGACCAGTGAATTATTACACCTTGTGTTCTGTAGATACTGTCCCTGGGTCCTGGGTGTGGAGAGTTCCGCCGTCATCGCTTGGTGCAGTGGGCCACATGCGCCATGTTGGAAACCTTGAATTTCGTCTTGGAATGGACAGAAGGGCCTCCCAGGTACAGAGCATTTCTACCACACCCTGGCCATGCCTCAGGGTCAGCGCCGGTCTCTCTCACAGACTCTGAGGCATCCTTGGGTCATCAGACTTCACAGTCACTCTGGGGTCAGGATGCTCTTTGTTGCTTTTGTCTTTCAGGTTCCAGTGTCCTCTTTGACTTCTCTTCTAGTCCATCCAATACTTCAAGTTTTCAGGGTGTGGACTCCTGGCAGGTGGACTTCTTAGAGATAATAGGAGCTCTGCATACTTCCTCTCAGGAGAGCAAGGAAGCAGAGGTTAGGGCTCCACGGCAGTTGGTTGAGAGCCTAGGGATGTAACTCACCTCATGCTCACCCTGGTTTCTGTCTCCTTCACATGTGGGTGATTATAATGCTGCCTCTTAGCAGGGATCTGAGGAGTAAATGAACACCTAGCGCACGTTGTAAGTGCACGAGGAATGAAACTGCCATCTGCAATCCTCCTTTATAATCTTGCTTTACACGGGGAAAAGTAAGAAGTCAGATTTACATATGCATGAAGGGGTTCTGGAGAGACTTGCTAGAAACTGCTAAACAGGAGATGCATGACTTTTCGATGCATAGATTTTGAAAGTGCAGTTTTCTCATTTGTTTTGAGTTTTGGACCATGTATATCTATTCATATATTTAAAAATTTTTTGAATTGTTGGGAATTGAACCCTTATGCATACCAGGCAACTATTCTACCGCTGGGCCATGGTCCCAGCCTTCTATTATTCCTGTGTTTCTGAGATGGGGTCTTGCTCTAATGGCAAAGCTGGCTCAAACTCTTGGACTCAAGCAATCATCTTGCTTCAGCCTCCTCATTAGCTGCAACTACAGGTACTACTATGATTAAGAACGTAAATATCTCGCCCACAGACCCATATGCTAAAGGCCCTGTTCCCCACTTGTGGCATTGGAGGTGGTGGAATTTTCAGGAGGTGAAAGAAAGTTAGGTCCTTGGCTTCGTGCCCTTGAAGGGGACATTGAAATTCAATCTTTTCCTTTTTCTTTTTGCTTCCTGGCCATGAAATGAGCAGATTTGCCCTCCATCCCACACTGCCACCATGCTGTCCTGTCTTGCTGAAGGCCTCAGAAAGACAGAGCAAGGGCCTATGATCTCTGATCTGTGCGCCAGTATAAACCTTTCCTCCTTTAAGTTGATTGTTACAGGCCCTTTGTCACAGCTGCAGAGAGCTGACCCTCGCAGGGGCCCCTTGCCGCACCCATGTGCATCAGTCTGAGAACACTTTTCTATTTATTATTCACTGGACCTGACAGATTTTGAAATATTTCCCCTATAGATATCTGAGGCTTGCTTGTGTATACACACACATATGCACACTCACACACACACAGACACAGACACACCCCTACACCTGTCTTCCTTCTCACCACATGCAGGTTACAGTAAGTGCTCCCAGGGCCTTGTCTTAAGCCTTAGTGCTCTGTTGAGTTGATCCAGATGAGCAGCGTGGTTCCTGCGTGAGGCTGGACCACACCCTATCCACAGTGTCCTGTTTATGTGAACTTGCGCTTCTCACATTGATGACAATGAAAAACAAATACCAAAGCGGGGCCTGGGTTTCAACTGCCTTGAATACATTACAGCACATTAATTCCACGGGGGTCAAAGCAGTCTGATCAGGCATTTGAAACTCATTTCTCTTACATGGGTCTCTGTAGTGTAGGAGGGCGGTGACAATGACAGTCAACTCTGCCGACCTCGTGTAGGAAGCATCAGAACTCCTGTGGAGGTGAGGGTATTTTTCTGATCCCATAATTAGCTCTCCAAGCGTCCAAACAAAGCATCTCATTCCAGCCTTTGAACGGCTACCTCTTTTTAAAAGCCAGATAATGTATGCGTTTGCAGACACGGAGATGGGAACAGACCAAATGGTGCCCATTCTGATGTCCTTCAGTGATGAGATTTAGGAGAAAAAAATGAAAACAAAGCAGACATCCCTGGCATTTCTGGCTCTGGGTGCTCCACCGCCTCCCTCCTGTTTCATCTACTTAGTCACCCTGCACACACCCTCACCGTGCGGGGGAGTTAACGGAGGTCCTCCAGGAGTCCAGACTTCATTGTCAGGAGAGGGGGTAATTATGATGCAACATGGGAAGCGCTTAACAATGAGAAAATGGTGCTCTGAGACCAGGCAGGACAAGAGCGCGCAAGCCCAGTGGCTTGTAAAGTATCTGAAGATTTGGCTTGGTCTGAATTAAGACACGGAGATCTCGATTTCCTGAGGTGGAATCATGGGTGACCCTTCTTTAGCAGTGCATCTGTGTAAGCCTGCAGGCATTCATTCATCAAACATTGATTGGCGTGAGGCGCTGTGTGCCTCCGTAAATACTGAGGGTCCACAGGATGTTAGCTTTTGGTTTACTTATTAAATAGTGCCTATGGCTTCCGGTGTTATGATTCCAAATCCTGACAACAAATCTGCCTCCCTGGAAGTGTTGGTAGGGGACTAGAAGCCTAGAAAATTGAAAAGGAAGGGTGTACTGATTGAGGCATGGAGCCCCAATAGTCCTGGCTAAGAATCACACATTTCTCTCGTCCACCTGTGCCCTCTGCATGTGCAGGGCACACATCACCGTCCAATCAAGTGTTTATCACACACATTGAGATTGTGCACAGCTGAGAGTCTTTTATAGCACAGTACTTGCTGTTCCTGGCTTTTCTTCTAAAAAGCTCCAAAGGCTAGAGGTGAGTTCAGTGGAAGCGTGCTTGCCTAGCACATGTGAGGCACTAGGTCCCTCCCTGGCACTACAAAATAAAAATAAAAATGGACAAATCCAATGCCTGAAAAACAGAAGCTATCCATTCTCCCTATAACCCAGAACTAACCGCAGGCAAGTGTGAGGCTTGTGCTTAGCAACGGGGTGGGGTGTGATGTCTGGTTGCCTGGTTATGAGAGTGTGTACAAGGCCTGGAGGTTGAGGAGGGCTCCTGTAGCCTGCAGGACACAGATATCTCCACAGTCACGGTTGGATTTGATATTCCTGCAGCTCTGAGAGCAGCTTGTGCTTCCCCCACCACGAGGCTGAAACCCATCCTTAGTCACTGGCTTCCTCGGGAGCCAGGATAGCAGCAGATGTTGCCTGGCATGAAGTCTGGTACCGGTGTTATGAAGTCACAGAGCCCAGGCAGAGGGAGGCAGATGTGTGCCCAGGACTTGGCATGGCATTTCGCGAATGAATGTCGCACGTATTCTTTTTGGGCTTCATTGATGCAAACTGAAGTTGGGCGAAATTTGGTGTCACTTCAGACGGGGTCTTCAAACATTGGCAGATGTAATCTGAATCTCCTTTTGAAGGCTCTGTCTGCGATTGAACCTTAGTTAAGTCCTCACCAAAGGGTGTTCAGAGAGCAGCCAGCCTCAGAGTCAGCCAGGGAGCTTAACCATGCAGACTGGGTTCCCGAACTGGACCCCTTGAACCGAAATTCACAGATGGCTGGAAATCTCCATTTCAAAGGCTCTTCATGGTGAGGATGAAGGAAACATCAGAATCCTTGTGCACCACCAATGTGAATGGAAAATTGAGCAGCTGCTGTGGAAAGCAACATGGTGACTCCTCCAAGAATGAAATACGGGGTTACCATGTGACCCAGCTGTGCCACTCCTGGGTACACACAAGACAACTGAGGGCAGGGGCTTGAGCAGGCATCTGCACTGTGTTCAGAGTAGCATAATTCACAACAGCCACACTGTGGAAGCAACCCGTGTCCGCCAGTGGGTGGACAGATAAACAAAAGGTGGCCTCTGTACACAGCAGAATGTTAAGTAATTCAGTCCTAACACAGAGGGCACCCTTCCCATGCTACAGCATGAAAGCTGTTATACTCATGAAATAAGCCCATCTCCAGACTGTATGATTCTACTTGTATGAGGTTCCTCGTGTCATCAAATTCACAGGGACAGAAAGTAGAATGGAAATCTTGGGGGACAGAAGGAGGGGAGCAGAGAGTTCATGTTCATGGGAATAAGATCTATGTTTTAAAAGATGAAAAAGTCCTAGATGCAGATGGTGGTGAATGTCACACAACCAGGTGATGGTGCTTAATGGCACTGAAAAGTATGCCTACCAATGGTTAAGATGGTAAATTTTACAATTTAAAAATCATGGAAAGAGGGCTGGGGATTTAGCTCAGTGGCATAAGCACCTGCCTGGCAAGCACAAGGTTGGGAGTTTGATTAATGGTACCAAAAAAAAAAAAAAAAAAAAAAACACAAACAAACAAAAAAAAAAAAAACAGTAGTGAGAAAATGAATGAAATAAAATCTTTCCAGGTGATCTTATCCCACTGAAATTTGCCCAAAGCGTTTCTCTTTCTCCTCTCCTGGAGCCCTAAAGCCTCTTTCTTCGTCCTTTGCATCCAACCTGTCACCAAATCTGGTCCTATCCTAGGAACTGTCCTTTCTTCTCCATCCCCGCCTGCTTCTCTTTAGGCTGGCATGGCCTCATATGTGCCGGTCCCTCTGTGGGTGCCATCTCTGCAGCCTCTGATGTTTTCTACTTTGCCTGCTGAACAAGTGGTTCCTCTAGAGTGAAGATTGATGCCTTGTCCATTCAGAGTTTCCACTTTCCAATCAGCTGGCCCCAATCAAGCCAGTTAATCTGGTTGACCAGTAGTCCCAACCCACAGCCTCTGTCTAGGCAGACCCATTCCCTTTGGCCCACTAACACACCATGTATATCCATTGGTCTTTCAGTAATGTTTCCCCTTTTCTGTGCTTCATCTGCTCGGGCCCCAGGGCTGTCTTTTCTCTCTATTCCTGTTCCTAGTCAACTTTCTACGCCTTGACTGCTGTTATCTTCCACATCGAAGTCATCCCACAGGAAAGCACCTTGCTGCTGACCTCAGTGTTATTTTTGCCACCCAAGTGAGGAGGAAATTTGTGTTCTATGCTGGAAATCATGCTTGTTTCTTTTCTACCCCCTGCAGGAGAACCTAGCAGAGTCCTGGACTCCCTGTAAATTATTCAGCAACTACTAGTTGATTAATACAAATAGATTTCAAATTAGGCAGCTGAGCTGAGCAAACATTAGGTTACTAATCAGTTTCCAAAACATAATCTGTGCTCTTTTAAATCTATTTGGGGTGTGCAATCACAGCCCAAGGATGCCTGCAGTGACAAAAATGTGCTAGATCTCCTCATTTGGAGAAAAAAAAGACAGAAAAAGCTGCTTCAGGGTCACTTGAGGGCAATGCTGGGCGCTGGGCAGGCAGAGCTGCGTGGGAAGCAGTTGAAATGTGTGAGACAGTGGTGGTGTTGATGACAAGGACACTTCAGTCCTCTTAGGAAGAAATGCAGCCCTGGAAAGGCAGCTGGGCTCCGAGCCGGGCCGGAGGAAGGCGGAAGGGCTGCGAGTGCCCAGGCTGGCTCCGGGGGAGGAGAGTGAAGGTCAGGGTCAAAGACGCCTCCCCTTTCCTGACCCCTGCACCACTGCCTCCTGCTCTGCTCACCCACTCTCTATAGAGCTGCTCCAATCTCTGAGAGCAAAAGCATCTTAAACATCCCAGGGTGCAGCTCTGGGCAGCGGGGAGAACTTGACTTTCAGGTCCTCGGTGACCGGATGTTTATTCATCAGGTGCTGGCTGGGCTCTGTGCCAGGCATGGGGCTGGGCACTGGAGAGTCCTGGATAAAGATAACGTCGGCTTTACAAGAGTGGACTGAGGGTCACACATCTGTCATGCAGCATGACACCCTGGCAAAGGGGCATCCTGCTTAGGATGTGAAGCTCGTGTGTTGCTGTGGTCCCAGCAGTGGGCTCACGGTTCCACAGGTAGGGGGACCGGGCAAGCAGGAGCCAGGTCCTCGCAGAGTGGAAGGCGGGAGCAGGAGATCGGGTGCCAGAACCACTGAGAGGACCAGAGGGGCTGCGGAGACAGTGACGCCTGGTTTCGTCATGACCAGTCACCTCTTCCTAGACCCGTGCCAGCACCATTGTGGCGGGGACTCTTTCCAGCACGCGAACCTTGGGGAGCCCACACAACCAAACTGTTCAATCGGAGCGTAGTTTGCTTTGGTTCTTCACACTTTCCGTGCGGTATCATCCAAACGGCCTTTTCACCACCCACACAGGAGGCGGCTGTGAGCTCCCTGTCTCTAAGATATGTTTGATGGCTTCCAAGCCCTGGGTCCTGGGAGTGGCCTTGGGGTCTCTATCCCTGCAGGACTAGGGCAGCAGGCCCGTTTCTGTCCAGACAGCCTCATTCTGCCAAGGCTTTGTGGACAGCTAAGAGTATTTCCTGCCTGTGAGGAGCTCAGGGGCTGTGTAAGCCCGGAGCTGATCCTCGCTGTGAGCACTGCTCAGTGCATTCTTGGAAGTGGAGAACATGTCTTTGATCTCTATAAAGGGAATAAGTCTCGGCCCCCTACCCTTTCTGTCAGGGATGTATGAAAGGACCTTATGAAGTATGAAAAGGGCCTCATCCTGTGGTCTGTCCACAGATACTTTCCTGCCGCGGAAACTGATGGCTGAAATTCCCACAATCGGGTCACTTGTTATATGTGCACCTGTTAAAGTATAAATCTATGATCTGTGAGAGGCAGCCGTTGGAGCAGGGGTAGAATCATCTAGGGAGCTTTTGAAAGATGCTGAGGTCCATCGCAGACCAGCCCTTGGTGGTCCTAATGTGCTCTGGAGGCTGAGGACACCTACCTTATGTTTTGGGCTCCACAGAACCACTGGGGACGTTTGGTCCTTCCCGGGCGTCTGGAAGAGTCTTCTTCCTGGAAACTCCACCTGCAAGTCATGGACCAGCACAGCAGCATCTTCCAGACATTGTTTGATCAGCTTAGACCCAGCTGCGACCCCCTGACTCAGACTCTGCGGTGGATAAGATCCCCAGGTAACACAAGGGCCCCTAAAGCTTGATCATGTCAGTGTCTGTCTTGGGCTTCCGCTGATTGTTCAGTGACACAGGTTGAACTGTGCCCTCCTCCCAGTGTGATAAAGTCCTAATCCCCAGTACCTCAGGAAGGGAAAGAAGGTCACAGGATGGGCTTTGATCCACTAGGACTCTGTCCTTATAAGAGAGGAAACAAGTCACACCAACAGGAAGCCAGCCATCTGGAAGTGAGGGACAGAGGCCCGGATAATCCTGTCTCTTGGCACCCTGAGAAGGGGCACCCTCATCAATACTGCTGCGGTTGATAAGGTTTCTCAGCTTGAACTCACACAGGAGTTTAATCTCCAAACTTCTATACTAATGGTATTAAGAGGATGGAAACTTAATCTAACAAGAGTGTTTACAGTTGGGGTCTCCGTGATTAGGTTTAGTTGGACCCTCATGATTAAATTCTGGTGGCTTTATAAGAAGAGAGAGTGACCACATGGAGGTATAGATATTGATAGAGATAGATGTAGATATATTCCTGCTATGACATGGTACAAACAAGGGAGCCCCTTATCAGAGCCCCTGCCATACTATTTTGATTTCACTATCTAGATTTGCTGAACAAACCTCTTTGCTCTATAAAGTAGCCAGTATCAGGTATTTTTACTATAGTAACATCAATTTAATATCAATAAATTAGATTTCTGTCCTTCACAATTGTGAGACAATAAACTTCTGGTGTTTAAACATCCAGCTCATTACAGCAGCCACAGGAAATTAATATGCTCTTGCTGTCTTCTATCTATTTTTCTCCCAGCTCGCCAGAAAAGAACCAGAACAGATCTATCAGTACTGTCAGGCCTGACCCCGCAGAGACACTGTGGCCAGCCGAGAGCCAGTCAGAAGCTGCAACTAATCCTGTTTTCCACAGAAGGTGATGACCAGCTCTCTAGGGAGGTCAAAGCATTTCCTGGGTGGTCATAAGGTCCCTTGATTAGTCTGGAGCACTCGCCATGGCTAACACGCAGGACAGGGCACTGAGGTGTCTATTCACTTCGAGATGAGACTATCTGCGCTGTAGACTTTTGCAACTGATGAGTGGAGCAGAAAGCTTGAGACTCCAGAAACTATGGGGGAGCCTTTTGGGGTTGTCTTAGTCCTTTTTCCATTGCTGGACACAATACCCAATACCTATGACCTAAAGGAAGAGCACTTTGGTTTGGTCCATGATTATGGTCCGTGGTCAGCCTGTTCCAAGGCCCTGGCATGGGCGTGGGCCTGGCTGGAGAAGCTTCTCATGTCTGTTCCTGTTCTGGTAGCTGGGAAGAAGACAGCGAAAGAGGAGCAGAGAATGGGGCCATAACCAGGCCATACCCCCCAGAGAGCCTCCCTCTCTGATCAGGCCCCGCCTCCGATCGGCTAGTGTGCTGGAAGCACCCAGGCTCCTCCAGCAGCCTTTCAAAAGCCCCAGCTTTGGGGGTCAGCTAGGTGGAAATCATAACCCTGGCTGTCTAGTTACACTATCTGCTCATAGTCCAGCTTCTTCAGCCACAGATTGCAAGATCCAGCCCTCTCTTTTCCCAACTCCGAGCCACTTTCAGTATGGAATAAGCTGGCACTGGCTGGAGGTTTGGTCAGGAGACAAGGTAAGGGGCCGCCATGTCCTGCTTGATTGCGTGAAGACAGCAGGCCCTGCATGCCTTGCACAAGCCTCTCTCCCTTTGCGGATTCCTGTATCCTACTGTTCGTCGCCTGCTTCCACTAGCTCTTCCTCCAGACGCTTCTTCTCGGAAAGGCAGGGAGCAGATCTCACTTCATCAGAGCTGAGGAACAGAGGGCTTGGTAGACCCTGCCAGGCCCACGGGGGCACCCTTGTGTTGAGAGAGGCCTCCCTCCAGGGGTGTTTCAGGGAGACGGTATCAGGAAGGACCTGGGATGGCTTGGATGATTTGGGGAGATGAGGATTAGCCCCAGATTGGATGCTGTCAGAAGGGAGGACGGTTGGGGCATCTCAGGAGAGCTCTGTAAAGAGGAGACACCAAGACACAGTGGTGACAGCCGTCACAGCTGTAACAACGTAACAGTCACTGATTTTCACCAAAGGGAGTTTTTTTTTTTAAATTTTATTTAAGGAGAAAAGAAAAAAAAGCAGGGAAAGGGTACAAGTTATACAGATTTACAGAAAAAAAATGAACAGTAGGAAATCACTAGTTAATGGATTACATATTGTCATCTTAGAAATAATTGTTCAAGTCACAAAATTAAAGCTTGTAAAGTGGACATTCCATCAATGATACTGCAAACAGTTCTGTTCATTGATCCAATAAAACTCTGTGATATCATTTTCTATCTTATACACTTAAATATATATGCAGTTATATAGTTTGGAGCACTTTCTTTTCCTCTCTTTTGTATCATGACTATTACACATTTTGGGTTTCATTGCTCCCACGGTTCTTATTACTTTTTTGGAAGAGAGTAAAACCAAATGTGACATAACAGAACAGAATTGGTCAAGTCAAAAGGGTGGACATAATAGATAATGTAAAAAACATAATACAAGGTGATCATCAGTGGTTACCATAATGCCTCCCGCTATCTCTAATAGAATTGCCTATATCGTTAGTTATAATACAATTGAACAAAACAGTAAAGAATAAAACCGACAAAACCAAAACATTGGAGACATTGTAGGTCTTCAAAAGTAGATAAAAGTCAACGAGAATGGGCGTTATAATGAATCTCATTATCTTCACAGCTGATGCCTAAACTTTCTAACCTAATACTATCCAGCAAAACAGTATAGGGGAACATCAGTTAAAAACCAGATGGTGAGAGTAATACAGGGCTTTAAATCAAGGTAATGGAAAGTCAAAGTGGGTTACTATAATATATCCTGCTATTTTTTTCCTTTAATTAAAAGGATAAAGATAAAAAAGTAAATAATGGAGTGGAGATTGAGATAAAAGAGGGCATAACAACGAAACAGCGCAGATCAAAACATAACCATTTAAGCAGAATAGTGTTTCACCACCAGATAATCCTGACCTAAAAGTAGTTACCATATTGTCTCTTTCTTTGAAATCCTTGAGTACAACTTCGTATACTGTAGCATTAAGTATATCAAAACAATGTAAAACCATTTAAGAGAATGACAGCATTACAGAGTATTTAGAATCGACTAACAGAAAATGAACAATGGTTTCTGTATAATCTCCTTGTCTTTAAAAGGTTTTTGCTTATACTATCGTACATAATAAAATCCAATAAGATACAACCTATTTAGACCATTGGAGACAGAAAGACAAAAGCTAGATGAGACTTCAAAACAAGATGAGTTTTGAGGTGATTTCTTCTGCAGGCGATGTGACAGCCTTGGTTTTGTCTGGGCATTGATGAGACTGGAACATCTCGTTCTGTGTCATTTCATGATGGCTTCAGAGTGAGGCTGGCACATGCCCAGTGATGAGGACAGGGTCGTGGCTACTCCCTGTTCTTCACCCTGGCACTCCACTATACCAGTCTGTGGGTTTCGAGCTGATCCCATCTGCCCAGATCTGGGTGGGGGTGGGGGCCTCGGTTTACCTTCTGCAGCAGGTGGGTGTGTGAAGCAGGGCTTTGTTAATGAGCTCCCGGGGCGAGATACTCATTCTTGATTCAGTTAACACCAGCTGATCCTCCTGAGAGTCAGGACCACCTAGGTGCGAGACAGTCCGGCCAGTTCCTAAGATGCCAAGGTGTTTGTTACACCTGTGGTTGTTGGACAGAGAGACACAGAGGGACAGAGAGAGACAGAGATGGAGAAGGAGGAAGCAAAGAAGAGGAAGAGAAGGAAAGGGAGGGGAGGAGGTAAGAAAGGAAGGCAAGATGGAAGGAAAGAAAGAATAAAGAGGGGAAAGAAGGAGAAAAAAGGAAGGAGGGACGGAAAGGAAAAGAAATAAAAAAATCTAGCCCTTCTGCTTCTAAGTATGTCAGGTAATGAGTATCCAACACATACCTATTCCAAATACAAGATGAAGAGGAGAAGAGAGAAAAGACAGAAGTGAAACAGGGGAGACAGAGGACCGACCACAAAGGAGAGAAGCAGAAAGAGGAGGAGCCGTCATCCGTGATGCTGCTGTCTGAGCACCGCGAGCTGTGAGCTGCTCTCCGGCCTCCCATCACCGCAGCCAGCAGCCCGAACCAAACGAGAGCGCGCTTGGGAGGGAAAGTCTTGGTCTGGATCTCAGCATTCCCGCTTTCTTGCTGCGCAAATGACTTAGGGTGCATAATCAATGGGTGGGGACTTCAGTCGTGATTACTCCACAGTGTTGTGAAGACTGAGTTAGGGAGCATTCGCCCTTAGAAAGTCCTGGATCCTAGGAAATGTGGCAAGTGTCATTATTTTCATAGCTTTTGGGTAGAAATGGTGAAAAGTAAGAATTTAACTGCCTGTGTATAAACGCTTTGGACTACAAATTCTCCCTGGGAAATGAAGTTAGTTTTCAAATTGAATGCCGAGGCTCCTGTTCTGAGCTGCATTGCAAGCCTTCCCCTCAGTCGTGGTCCGGTTGTTTAATAAACATCCATCAGCGGTGCCCGGCACCGAGGCAGACTTTATTCTTAACCAGTGTGATCATGAGTTTTCCTCTCATCCCATTTCCCTCCTTCGTGCTCTGTGTTTCGTTTTGTACCCTTCCTCTTCTCTTTTCTCCTTCTTCCCCTGGCCTCTCTTTCCCTTGGCCTCTGCAGTCACAAATGACCTGACTGTTAAAAACAGAAGTGACCTCAGGGGACCACGAGCCCAGTATACTCACACTGCAGATGAGCAGTCCCAGCCCAGCCTGGAACGGGGTTCCCTGGAGGCTGCACCGGGGTGGCAGCAGAGGGACCCAGACAGACAGCTCCCCCCAGAGCACCCTTTCCATTCAACTTCGAAGGTTGCCTTGTGCCTGTGTGTCCCCTACTCGTGACTGAGAAGAAATGTCATTTTTCTGTGTAGAAAAACAGTCAGGAATCATTTTTCTTTCCCTTGAGAGTTTGAGATCAAGCACCTAGTGCTTCTGTGTGGTACAAGTGGTTGTCAGAGGGTGGAAACCAAGTGCATGGCGGCGGGGAGGTGTTCAGTGAGATCCCACTGCGGGGCGTGAGTGTGGGTGTCGCTTCTCCCAGGCCCGCCCTGCTTCATGACTTGGTGAACAGAGCGTTCTTCCAAGCGCCGTCTGTGCAAAACATCCTGCCTGCTCCACCTGGAACCTTCGGTCTGGAAACTGTGGAAAAGAACCAAATGTCAGAGGAGGAAGGAAGGAAGAACAATAATAGCAGCTCTCTGTGGGACAGTGGTTCCCTGTCACACATCCACAGTATCGGTGTCATAGGGCGTGAGACTCAGGTGAAGAAAGGCTGCGTTTTCACTTTTCTTGAACTCAACATTGAGTCTGCTTCAAACCACTGTTCTGCTTAGGGGCAAAAACAGTGCGGTCCCTCTCAGGATGTCTTGGTCATTTTGCATGAAGAACTGTGAACTCAGGCTTGGCTCTTTCGCCCCGAGCATCCTCTGCCTTCTCAGTGACACACACGACATCCAGCTGTTGGGGGAAGGCATGGGCAAGGCCACCTCTCTCGCCCTGCCCCAGACATACTGGGCTGTGGCTTCCCCTGCTCGGCCTCGGGAGTTAGAAGGAGCCTCCCCAGCATCTGAGAACCTCAGGCCACCTCATCAAGCAGGTCTATGCACTAGACTTGAAACCCACTGGGTTCACCAACTTTTTCAGATTTTCCTTTCCAGATCATGTTGAAGGTGGGTAAGCTTGGGACTAACAAAACAATCCAAAGAAATGCATCCCACTTCTGGGAAGCAACTTTAAATCTAAAGGAATTGGCCTCTGCTCCCAATCATTTGCACTGGCATTTCTGTCTTCCTGGGTCTCTGGGTGAGGCTGATGGAAGGTGGACACCCAGTCTCTGAGTGAAGCAGATGCATCAGGGGAACACACAGTAGGGGCAAGAATATCACGGCTCGAAACCATAGAGACTTGGTAGTGTTCTTTACTTCCTTGGATGAGGAGGAAAGGTAGTTTTTTCTGAATGCTCTCTGTCCCCGTGGGCCAGGGGAGGTGGGAAAGGTCTCCAGGCCCTGTGCATGTCCTCTGTTGCTCCCACACATGATGGGTACAGATCTCTCCAAGCTCGACTGTCAGTGTAGTCTGCTGAAAAATGGAGCATAAATGCCCTAGATTTTGAGCTCTCAAATATTTTAAAGCTTCTTTTTTTATTTCTCACCAGACACTGGGTCTGTAAAGAGGAAAGAGGAGAGGGAGCGAGGTGCAGTCTGACCACACCAGGCCTGGCTCCCCTCTCCGACATCTTCACATCTTCTCTGAGTCACTGATCTGGCATGAAGGGCGTGGTGGCCTCCTCAACCGTGGATCCCTTGCTGATGCATCCTTTATGGCAGCAGCATTGTGGCTCTCTCTTCAGATAGCAACTTCCCCAGACTTGCAAGTTTTTACTTTTTGTGAGCCAAAGACCTTTTCTATCAAGACTATCACGTTTTTGCTTTCCTTTTTATTTGAAATTTCTTCTTTAAAAAGTATCAAAGAAATTAATGTACACCATGAAAATCAAATACAATCTCCACAAGCCCAGTGATTTAAAATGGCACCTTTTAACTCATCCAGCATTTATAGCTGTAGGCCTAATAATATAATTTGATGATGGTTTCTTGGTTTTTCCCATTTTAGACATTATCTATGGACTTGCTGTGAATAGAAATATGCATGTGATAGTCCCAGTTCCTCCTCCCACCTCATGCAAATATTGGCTACATCAATAGCCTTCACTCACATAATATCTAGGAACTGTGATTGTGTTCATTCCTCACCCATCTATTTACTCTTTCTCCCTGCTGTATTCATAGTTATCATTTTCGGAGTGAATCATTGTTGTTGGCTAATTTCGTTTGTCCATTCTTTCTAAAATCTTCAACAGAATTGTAAAACTCTGTATATTGTGGTTTACCTACGTGACCAAACACATCAGGTGATAATTTTGCTTTGGGGAATTTTCTCCTAAGATCAATCTCTCTTAAACTCGCAGTTTCCTGTCAGGAGCATGCCAGGTTTCGAATGCCTTTTTTACCCAGGTGATCCCTACTTCTATCTGGTTTCAAATATTCTGTCAAAAGGGTTTCCATCTTCCTCCTCCTTGGTGCAAGTCTTTATGCTGGTGATGCTTTCAATAACTCCCAAGAAAGCATGTGTGCAGAGGTAGAGGTAGGTTTTAAGCCAGGAGAATGCCTTTACCCTGGCCTCCCTCTGGCTAGAGAACAGGCAGGCTGAGACTCACCCCCGCCCCCTGGATCTGTGGCTTCCATTCTGGCTTTTGAGAAGTTCCTTGACATGGCTCGTAGCTAGATGTCTCCCGAGAGCCTCATGTACTCATAACTTGAGCTGTTGGAAGGTGACTGGATTATGGGGTACACCTGACTCACATCTAGGATGTGGGGTCTGGTTGGAAGACTGCGTCCCTTACAGCATGACCTGGAAGGGTTTCCTCTCCTCCTGGCTCCTCCATTCATGTCCTCTGCATCCTGGCCTTCGAGCCCTTCTTCCAGGCTCTTTCTTGGTGGAAGCCACCAACCTCGGACTGCAGTGAGAGCCAAAATAAGCCTCCCTTCCATTCAGTTGTAGGTGTCAGATATTTTGTCCAAGTAACAAAGAAAGTGATTAAATTATCCCTATAAAATATGGATTTTCTTGCCTTTGTAGGTGACCTTTTTTCCTCTTACATGGAGCCATTAGAGTTTTTTCCTCTTAGTGATATTTTAATACTTGAGCGCTTTGTCTAAATGAAGGAAATTCCTATTCATCATGTTGGACATTTTGTGGGCCTTCCTCATTTAGAAAAATCCATATATTTTGTCATCAGATTGTACACTTAAGGCCTATGCACCTGCCAATGTCACATCTCAACAAAATGCTCTTTAAAAGGAAGGAAGGGAGGCTACTTTCTGCATAAAAGCTAGTAGATTCACTCTTTCATATATGTGTTTCTCATGAAGCCATCCATGTTTCTGGAGAGGAGAAGACAGAAGTGACAAGGAATTTGGGAAGGATTTGAGTGTGTGAAGACACCAGACTGATGATTTGAACTTCATCTGTTACCCTTCCCTGGCTTACATAGGCCTAACGGTTGTCCTCTGAGGTAGGAACCATTGTCTCCATCCTATCGATGAAAACATAAAGACTCAGAATATTTAAAGACCTGCGCTAAGATTCCAGGGTTTACTCAGATTTAAAATTGATTTGGTGGTTCTCTGACTCCAAAGCTCACTTTTTTAAATGCAGAAAATGTAACATTTATAAAGATTATACACTCACAGAATCAAACTTACTAACCTGCCTGAACTCAAAGAACTGCACCGGAGTACCTGTGCTGAGTTTGGCTACCAGCCTGTGGGAGGCGGGGCCCAGGAGAGGATATGAGGTACCTTAAAGGGGATGTTGGGACCCCAGCCTGTCCCTTCTCTTGTGCCCAACCACCCACGAGTAGAGAGCTTCCTCTACCACACATTCCTGCCTTGATTGCTGCCATAACATGGACCTAAAAGCAGTGGGCCAACTGACCTTGGACTGAACCTTCCAAAACTGTAAGTCAAAATAAACCTTTCTTCCTCGTAAGCTGATTATCTCAAGTATTTTGTTACAGTGATGAAAAGCTCACAGCACCTCTTTGTCAACTTTCTGAAACCAAAAAAGCTAGAATAAATGATTAACTTCCGAGGAGATCGATGCTCTTACCCCGGCTTGGGCATCACACATCATGTACATGTTTTCCAGCATCACATGGTGCCTTACACATGTGTGCAATTGTTCTGTGTCGATTAAAAAATAAAAATAAATGAAAATGTAAAACCAGAGGGAGACAAAGACACAGCAAACAGGAAGAAAGGCAAAAGTCACCGGTTCTTCTGGGAAACAAGGCTGGACAGAGGAGATGGGATGACTTTGTGTCAGCTTTATTTTCTTTCATTATTTTCTTTTACTACTCATGCTGGGGACTGAACCCAGGGCCACATGCGTGCCACACACAAGCTCTGCCACCGGCTGTGTCCCCAGCACTGGAGTCCTGTTCTTAATCAGGTTCCGGAGAATTTCCTGGGAGTTGTAAGCGAAGCCGGGAGGACAGACAGACCGACAGCTGCCAGAGGAAATGTGGGTGCGTAACCAGGTCAAAGCCCGGACGTGAGCCCGCTTGCTTTTTATTTTCTCTGCCCCCTTAGGAAGGATAATAATCTTCCAGGTAAACTCCAATGCAAATTTAAACACCTCGAAGCCAGGGGAAAGTATTTGAAGGTTTTTTGTTGTTTCCTACATAGAACCCTGCAAAGCTTAGCAATCGGTGGAAACATTTTTAATTAACTAAGAGGGATCTTGCGCTGCTGCGCCCATTCCCACTGGGGTTCTGAGTGTACTGTGCTGCCTCTGTGCTGACCGCATCGCTGTAACCTCGGAAGCAGGTGGAAAATACCCCACTGATGTCTCTGCTGTTTGAAACAGATTTCTCTGGGCGTGACTTGGGACTCCTTAGTATAAATAAGGGAGCTAAAACAGCCAGCCAGGTTTT